CTAAAATGAACCCTAAACTCTAAAATGAACCCTAAACTCTAAAATGAACCCTAAACTCTAAAATGAACCCTAAACTCTAAAATGAAACCTAAAATCCTAAATAAACCCTAAACCTTAAAAATAACCCTAATCCCTAAATAGACCCTAAAATCTACAACTAACCCTAAATAAACCCTAAACCTTAAAAGTAACGCTAAGCCCTAAATTCACCCTAAACCCTAAAATTCACCCTAAACCCTAAATAAACCCTAAACCCTAAAATAAAACCCTAAACCCTAAATGAACCCTAAAATCTACAACTAACCCTAAACCGTTCCATAACCTCGGCACGAAAAACACGAAAAACACGAAAAAATCGAAAGAATCGATCCATAACCTCGGTGTCGGCGGGGGACGGCGGCGCGGTGACGCTGCGGTGTCGGTGGGTGTCGGCGGGGGACGGCGGCGCGGTGACGCTGCGGTGTCGAAAGAATCGAACCATGAACCTAAACCCTAAACCGTTCGGAAATGGGAATAAGAGGGGAGTCATGAGTAGAAAAACTTACCTGTCGGGCGGCGGGGGACGGCGGCGAAGCGAACGCGGCGGGCGGCGGGGGACGGCGGCGAAGGAAAAATGAAAACTTTTTTTTTGCTAAGTGTCTGAGGAAGAAGACGATTCGCGATGTTTTTAAGAACATTGCGACCGATTTATTCTGTCGCAATCTGTCGCTATGTCATTAAAGTGGGAGACACGTGGACAGTGCGACCGGGTTTAGGGTTTAGGGTGAATTTTAGGGTTTAGGGTTTATTTTAGGGTTTAGGGTTTTATTTTAGGGTTTAGGGTTTATTTAGGGTTTAGGGTTTAGGGTTTTATTTTAGGGTTTAGGGTTCATTTTAGGGTTTAGGGTTGAGGGTTCATTTTAGGGTTTAGGGTTTATTTAGGGTTTTAGATAGGGTTTACTGCTAGTTCACGGGTTTTCATGATTTTGTTTTGTTATATGTAACTTGTAGATGAGTCACTCCCATTCTAGTGGTCGTAGTGGTAGATTTTCTTATACTTCTGCTTTTTGTTGGCACATTATCTTCAAAATAATATGAGGTAAAGAATGATATTTCCTCATTATATCGGAGTGTTCGCCGTGTTAAGCATATCATAAAATCTTTTCGCTTCAACATTTGGCTCTTCTTCCATATATGGAGAAGGAGCAACGTTGGGAAATGCATCATTCACCATCTCTGCATATAGATTTCGGTCTTGATCTTCTTGAAAGATCGGAGGTAGCGACGTGTTTTCCACAAGTTGTTCTTGCATTTGTGAAACACGTGATGATGACGACGTATCATACGTTTCTCCATGAGCCAACCAAACATAATAGTTTGACATAAAACCTCTTCTATAAAGGTGCTTACACACTTCATACTGACTTCGCCATCTTTTATTCTCGCATTTTGAGCACGGACATGGTAACTTCGAACTCTCAATGTACGACGTTTGACTTGTTGCAAACGCCATAAAATGTTGTAATCCTTCAGCAAACTCACTCGAGATTTGATTAGAAGAATCAAATCTATTATACATCCACATTCTGGATGAAAAAGACATTTTTTTGTAAGTATTTTTTTTTTCGTTAACACTTTTTTTTTCCTATCTATGCATTCTCATCGCGCGGGCGATATATGGAGGGACGTTGCGACAGAATTGCGACCGATATATTCTGTCGTAAAATGACTTGCGACCGAAATGCGACAGAATTGCGACAAAAGTTAGGTGACATACCATTCACGTGTGTACCTAATTTTGCGACACATTCGGTGAGTCGCAAGTCAGTCGCACATATTGAGCGACTCCTAAAGTGTGTCGCATATCGGTCGCAATACGCAGCGACGCATAAAATCTGTCGCAAATGTGTCGTACACGGAGCCCGACCGAACATATCTGTCGCATACTGTGTCGGTACATACCGACAGACCATCTGTCGTAAATTATCTGTCGTGTTCCGTCGTATTTCGGTCGCAACTATGTGCGACAGATATAACGGTCGCAAACGGTCGGAAATTTGCGACAGGTTTTGCGTCCAAAACCGACAGAGATATTTTTCCGTGATTGTGTCGCTTTTTAGTCGCGGTCTGTCGCAAATTTATTGCGACTAAAAATTCGGTCGCAACAGGTGTCGCAAATTTCAGTTTTTCTTGTAGTGTTGGCACATTTGATCATTTGGTGTAGTCTTTTGTCAAATTAAAAATTCATGTATGAAAAGGTCACATTTTACAAAATCGGTGTAGGAAAATGTCATTTTCCCTAAAATAAAAAGTATAAATAGAATATATACAAATGTATTCATAAAAAATTTTAAATTTAAAATACATATATACACACACAAATGTATGTATGTGTATATATACCTTGGAACCTATGATATCTTCTCGTGAGTATGATATCAATGTGCGAATATATTTTTTATAATTATTTACATCACTAAAAACAGAATTGTTAATTACATTTTCACATGGCTTCGCTCTTTGATCTGAAGTGCCATCTTCGCCACGAACACTTCCAATTTCGTCTTGATAACCAAAACTATCTACATATACCCCATTAATTAATATATATCTATTTTATATATTATTTTATTTTTATAAATACAAGTAAATATGCATTTATTAATAAAATGGACGTTCTGGCTAAGTAACAATTTAATGGGAATCTATTATGACAGGGAATATATATATACACTTACAATTGGTGGCACAAGTGACATTTAAAGATATATTTGCCAATCTGTGAAATCTCATTAATTCGTTTCAGAGAAATGTGATGACGTGGATAATAAACATAGTAACTTATGCGTGTGTGTATATATATATAATGCATGTACAATACATATAAGGCATATTTGTAAAAGGAGATTGATTCGGATAAGTTACCATGAACGTCGAGGAGCATGAAAACGGTCACTGGTAGCCACATAAAAGGACAAATAAATCGGAAATATATAGTTATATATAAAGATAGACAAATATTTATGATTGTGTATAATATATATATATATATATTGAAATGCATTTTGAATTACATGATTCCAATAACAGATTTGAAATCTTCGTATTTGTATATATACTTTTGGAAGTTGAATGTACTCTTGGGCGATAGGTAAGCCTGCATTTATTTAGGTTTATATGGTGTCAAATCTATAATAATTAAGAATAAAATAATATAGAAAGAGAATATAATACTAAAAGAGATGAAGCCGTGTCAAATGATCTAATTCTTCCCTGATACCAAAGAACCGTATAAAAGAAGTTGTTCTTATTCGGAAATCAAGTTGTTCTTCCGCTACGGGTGTACCCGTAAGCAACAATTTTGAAACACTCCTCTTCTCTCTCTAATCTTTTAGCTCTTCCTGGAAGATTCTTTGTACCTGACTTGTTCCCAGATTCAGACGAAGAAGCAGATGCGCCACCGCCAGTTCTTGGGAAGGAAAACTCCTCCACTTTCAATGGCTACCCCTTGTAGCAGTTTTCCCCATTCCTCGTCAGTCATTACGTATGGACAAGCACAAGTGCCTAGGGTTTATCATGTTCTTTTTTTGTCCCTCGCTCCGTTCCCAACAAACTCGAGAACCTGGGTTTCTCTCTCTTCTGAGAGGCGAAACCCTAATCCCCAATCTACTGTAACCTTGCTCGGCCGCACCGCCATGGCTCCACGTTTGCGTTCCTCATCTGCTCCTCCTTCTCCTGGGCTCTTGGGCCCCCACCCCTCCTCATCCTCTCAGCCGACCTTAATCTCTCGGCCTGCTTCCCCTCTTCTCCATGCATTTTCTCCACCGGCCCCCTTCATCCACCGCCTAGTCACTCAAAAATCCCCTCCTTGCCTCTTGCCTCCATCTTCTTCTTCTATCTCTGAAGATCTGATTCCTGTCCTCCCCATGGACAAGGTTGCTGTAAGTGCTCTGGCACCTGATTCCCCTGCTCCCCGGTCCCAATCGCTCTCCTGTCCGCCCAGCTCTGCAAGGTCGGATAAGTTAGATAGAGTGAAGGCCCGTATCAGCTCGGGAAACCTGTTGGCCTCCAAAGAAGGAGGAAGTCCTCGATGTGATGTCAGACCCCCTCCGACATCAAACTCGCCCGCTCCGGCAAATTGGAGCAAGCAGCTTCTCGCCTCTCTCCGAAGTCTGCGGCGTATGGGGGCCCCAGCGCTCCACGCGAATGGCTCGCCTCTTGTCAGTATCCCTGAGGAATCCCTTTCGGAGACAATCGATGAATGGCGGGAATTCGTCATTGGACAGTTTTATGGGATCCCTCCGTCGATGGGGAGGATAACCGGAGTTGCTAACGGACTTTGGTCCCGGAAAGGGCCTCGTATCAAAGTCCAAGATGTTGGTAACGGGACATTCATGTTTAAAGTGCCGAGTCAGGAGGTTAAGACTCATATCCTGAACCGCAAATTTTGGTATTTCGGTCCGTGCCCGATGTTCGTATCGCCATGGAACCCGCACCACTGTCCGGAGAAACCTCCGATGCACTCTGTCTCGACATGGGTATCATTCTGTAACTTGCCTCATCAATTGTTCAACTCCGACAGCCTCAGTCGGATAGCAACTTCCATTGGAGATCCACTCTACATGGATCGTGCCACAGCGGCTAAGGAAAACTTGTCTGTCGCCCGACTGTATATCTAAGTCTGTCTTCTTAAGCCACTCCCCAAGACCATCACGGTAAGCCTACCAAATGGAGGTGAGCATGTTGTTAGTGTGGCTTATGATTGGTTGCCGCCTACGTGTCCCTTATGCTCCGACATTGGCCATAATGCGCATCATTGTCCGAAACGTGTACGTCCTACTCGAGCTAGAGAAGGCCGCCCGAGAACAAGCAAAGATCCTCCCCATCTGCCAACCCAGGAACTTGTTATCTCTTCACCCCCGGAGGTGCTGGAAAATCAATCTGTCTGTAGACAGGATCCGCCAGCTGAACAATCATCGGCGAACATAAGCCTGCTCAAAGAGGCCTCTTCTTTGCAAGCCCCGGAACAGTCCCCTGTCCAGGCTATTCTAGCAACTGTCCACCCAACGGGTTGCCAGCCCTGCCCGCTGTCCCCTCAGCCTACTTCTGAAAGTGGAGATGTTGTTGTCCCTGGAAGCACTTCCAACAAAGAAGTTGCTGCCCCTCCAAGCTCTCCCAACAAGGTTACTCAAGGCTGTCCATCTATCTCCCCATCTACTAAGAAGGCTGGTTTATCAAAAGCTAAGTCAAAAGGTGCGGCCACGAAGTCTCACTGATTTCCGTTGATTCCCATGATTTTTGCTTGGAATACAAGAGGCTAGAATAGCCGGAATAAAAGTGTTTTGGTTCGTAAGTGGATTTAGGATCACAAGCTGAAGATGGGTGGTCTACTCGAAACTCACATCAATGAAGCCAACGCTAGCAGAATCAGTCAAGTGCTACCTACTGGGTGGAAGAGTTTTTGTAATTATGGTGAGGATCAAGCAGGCAGAATTTGGTTAATTTGGGATCCCCAAATCACTGTCACAATTTACCGGGTCTCTAAACAAGCTATTACTTGTGGAGTTTGGCATGCAGCATGGAATGTTTCTTTCACAGCTACTTTTCTCTATGCTAGCAACACTGGTGCCGAGAGGAGAGAACTATGGGAGGAACTACGAGATATATCCCAATATCCCCCTATCCTTGAGTCATCGTGGGTTGTATTGGGAGACTATAACCAGATTCTGTCCGCCTCAGAACGATCTGATTACCCAGCATATGTGTGTCGTTCACAAGGTCTTGCTGAATTTCAGGACTGCGTTTCAACAACTTGTCTAACAGACATTCCAAGCAGAGGTCTCTCTCTCACATGGTGTAATTTCCACTATCAAGACCCCTTGTCGGTTAAGCTTGACAGAGTGATGGGAAATGCCAAGTGGATGGAGCGCTTCCCCGAGGTCATGGCAGAATTCATATGTCCAGGTCCTTCGGATCACTCCCCGAGTGTCCTGTGTTCCCAGAGCCCGTGCCAGAGGTACGTCGTCCCTTCAAATTCTTCCATCATCTTACTTTACTTCCTGGGTTCTCGCAGATTATGCGTGAGCATTGGAGTGCATACATGTATGAGGGGACACGACAATTCAGGCTTTATAAGGCTCTTAAGGCACTCAAGCAACCACTCAGAGGATTGAACTCGGCGGAATTTTCTGATCTATCCCGATGGGTCCAGTCTGTGAAGCAAGAACTGAAAATCTGTCAAGCTAAGATTCTGTCAGAGCCTTCTCCTACCCTTGTGGCCGAAGAGCGATCAGTCAGGGAGAAATGGCTACTACTGACAGCAGCAAAGGAGCGACTATACCGGCAGAAATCGAGGATCACGTGGTTACGCCTTGGGGATAGAAACACATCTTACTTTCACAAGATTGCATCGGCTCGGGCTGCGCGAAACCACATTCATTTCCTAATTGACTCAACAGGGCGCCGATTGGAAACCTCAGAATCTATCAAGTCCCATGCTGTTGAGTTATTTACAGGCCTTGTTGGTACTAGCTCTGCACAAGTCTCTGTGCCAGACCGAGAGTGGCTCACTGATTTATTGGAATTTTCCTGCCCAGCAGACATTGTTGCCTCCTTGACCCGTATGCCGACCCCGGAAGACATAAAACAGACCCTCATCGCAATGCCAAATAGCAAAGGTCCAGGGCTAGATGGATACCCGAAAGAATTCTATATCGACACTTGGGACACGACTGGTGGTGATCTCACGGCGGCAGTTACTGAATTCTTTAGCACTGGCCAACTGTTGGGCCAAATGAACGCTACAGCTATTGCACTTGTTCCGAAGAAGCATGATGCAGTTTCACTGGGAGACTTTCGACTGATTAGTTGTTGCAACACCTCCTATAAAATTGTGTCAACTATACTGGCAAAGAGATTGAAACCACTACTTGATGGGATCATTTCGCCCTAATCAGACCGCTTTCATAAAAGGCAGGCTGATGTTGGAAAATACCCTTCTCGCAACGGAGCTAATCCGGGACTATAACCGCAGCTTGACAGCCAAGAGTGCTATGTACAAGATCGACATACGTAAAGCATTTGACACGCTTAACTGGGATTTTCTCGTGCAAATTCTAAAAGCTCTAAGACTACCGCCGGTATTTATATATTGGATAAGAACCTGTGTGACCACTGCCAAGTTCTCAATCTCGGTAAATGGTGAACTAGCTGGTTATTTCAAGGGTAGACGGGGACTAAGGCAGGGCGAACCTCTCTCTCCATACCTTTTCATACTCATCATGGAAGTGCTCTCTCGAATGTTAGACCACGGGGCTGCAACCGGTACATTCAGCTATCACCCAAGATGTTGTAATCCGACCATTACTCATCTAGCCTTTGCGGATGACGTAATGATATTTTCAGATGGTGACCTTGGATCGTTGAGGGGCATAAGTGGTATTCTGGAAACATTTTCGAATTTCTCGGGTCTCTGTGTTAACCCGATGAAGTCTGAACTCTACCTGGGTGGTTTTAGTGAGGAAGAGAGTATGCTGGCTGCGGCTGATGTCGGGGTACGCCTTGGTTCCCTCCCAGTCCGTTATCTGGGAGTCCCACTTAGCCCTTGGCGTTTAACAAAGGAAGACTATCTCCCGCTTATGGAGAAAGTTAAGGGGAAGATTGAGGCATGGAGTACAAAATTTTTGTCATATGCCGGCAAGGTCCAACTGGTCTCGTCAGTCGTCTATGGCATGGTAAACTCATGGAACCAGGTATTTGTCCTCCCAAAATTCTTCCTTAAGTACATTAACAACCTTTGCTCAACTTTCTTGTGGAAGTCCAACCAATCCACTGCGCCAAATTTCCGAGTGTCTTGGGAAGCAATCTGCAAACCCCGAAAAGAAGGCGGGCTTGGCCTTCGTAGGCTATCTGAACATAACCAGGTATACAGATTGAAACTAATCTGGTTATTGTTTAGCAAATTAGGGTCTCTATGGGTCGCATGGATATACTCATACATTTTCAAAAGGCGAGGTATGTGGGGTACTCAAGCATCAGCCCGGTTCTCGTGGAATCTTCGGAAACTGATAAGTATTAAGAACCTCGCACATAGGTTCCTCAAGATGTGAGTTGGAAATGGCAGGAAGACGTTCTTCTGGATGGATAAGTGGACTACTATGGGACCCCTAATTGATTTCATTGGTGATCAGGTCCTAGACACCTCCGTGTTCCCTGCTATGCAACTGTGCAATCAGCTACTGATGGGCAGAACTGGTCTCTGCTGGGTGTGAGAAGCGATGCGACGCAAAAACTTCTTATCTTCCTCGCATCGACTATCCCTCCATCGGATGATAAAGGCGAAGACAAGCCAATGTGGAAGAAGGACGTATCTGAATACGGTGATAGATTCTCTTCCAGCAAAACTTGGGCTCTCCTCCGGGAACCTGGCCCGACAGTGGAATGGCACAGTACCGTTTGGTTCAAGGGGTCGATACCGCGATATGCTTTCACAGTTTGGCAAGCTATGCTCAACCGACTACCAACCAAAGACCGTCTTGCTAGATGGGGAATCCAGGTTAATCCTCTATGTTGTCTTTGTGAAATTGAGATGGAAACACACCATCACTTGTTCTTTGATTGTCGGTATAGCTATGGACTATGGGGCTTTTTTGCTGATCTTTGCTGGCTGACCCGCCGAGGGATTTAACTCAATGTCATCACTGGATTCATGACCCTAATCGGGATAGGACTCATGACCGAACCTTCATCGTCAAACTCATCCTCCAGCTTGCAGTGGCAGAGATTTGGAGGGAGAGAAACAACCGTATCTTCCGTCTTCGATCGAGACCTCTGGAGATTCTCCAACACAAGATTGATCGTGGTATGCAAAACTTACTCCTTGGCCTGCATATGCATGGTAGCTCACAGACTGATCTTATTCTGCAACATTGGTATTTTTTGACTAATACTTTCAGAACTCAATGAACACCCATTGATTGTATCAAGCATTGTTTTTTACCACTTGCATGAGAATCCTTTTGTAATCAGTCAGAGAGAGACTATTGTAACACCGTTTTTTTTTGTAAAGATAATATAATCACATTAAACCAAAAAAAAAACTCGAGAATCTGGTGACCGAGAAAATTGGGGATATAGCTATAATACCCTCTCAATGCTACAATCACTTCCTCCTATACTCTCTAATCAAAAAATCAAAAAAAAAGTATTATTCATGACAAAAAAGACCATAAAACCTCATACAATACGATAAAGACAAAAACACCCCTCCTTTTTCAATTAAAAATATTCAAAATTAAAAAAAAAAGTAAAGTTAAAAAATAATAATGGCTTTCTCTCTCCTAACCCACTGTTCATCTTCTTCCTTCTACCAAATCGTGAGCTTCTCTCTCTCAAAACTCTCATTCTACCATCGATTAGTGACATAAATCCTGATTTCTCTTTAGAAATTTCTGTTTCTCTTCAAATCTCCAGCGAAATTAGAGAGTTGAAGAAGATATGGCGTCGAGAGCGAAAAACACAACTTCAAATCATCGGTGGCCTCATCTTCATCTTCCTCCGAAAGTGAGAACCATAAGCAAATTTCAGAGTTAAAAGAACAAATGGTAGGTTAAACAAACACTTTCTCATCAATTTTGTTGGATTTTGAAATGTATTGTTGTTGAGTTGAAGTTTGGATTTTGGGTTTTGTAAGTAGAAATATATGGTTTTAGGTTTATGAAATTTTGGGAATTTCGAAATAGAATATTGTGTTTCTGAAATTTTGGGAATTTCGAAATAGAATATTGGGTTTTAAGTGAAATAATTGTTTGACATGTGAAATGATTTAAATCGAGTTAAATGAGTCAGTTTGGGTCACATGGTGATTTAGAAAAATTAAATGGATAACTGTATCATATGGGTCGATATATAGATGTATGAATGACATGATGATTTGAGTCACATGGTCACATGGTTACAGTATCATATAGGTCACATTGTGGTATGTTGAGGAGACAATGTATGATATACGACTCTACGTTTTATAGAATTCGGTGACTTAAATAGAAAGCAATTACATGGTTAATGACACTATTTTCACGGAGCACATCAAGTGGTGAGAAAAATCAGGTGACTTGCCAATTTTAATTTGGGCGATCTCGGGCCCTACTTCAAAGGACATCTTCCACTTGGATGTGCAAGAACATCGTTGACTAACTTTTATTTCAGCTAATAATTTATCTCTTTTTTTATGAACATTAAGTATAACATTCTTTTATTTGTTTATTAGAATACTAAGTTATAATTTTTTTATACTTACCGTAACTTTTCTACACACTTGGATGATACTAGACTCCACAAGAAATATTGCATGTAAAAATTTTGGAGGAAAAATTTTGGAGGAAAAATTGTTAGAGAACAAAATTTGGATTTAGGTATTTTAAACTCAAACTATTATCATGTTCACATGGTCACATGAGACCATATTGGTATGGTCACATGGTACCATATTCATATGGCCACATAGTACCATGTTCACATAGTCACATGGTGTCATGGTGTCATGGTACCATGGTATCACGGTGCCATCTATTTTCATGGAATTCAGAGTATACTAAAGAAGGAAGCGTTTGACGAAGTACTTTTTTTTTATTTGGAGGAATTGACATCATCGAGTTCATGACTTGAAAATTCGTTCGACAAAGTCTTCTAAGAAGAAGAAGAAGGGAAAAGGTCTGATAAATGAAGAAGTAGAAGATGGGCGAGCAAAAGAAGATGAAAAACAACAATTATATGTGATGACAATGTCACCAAGATACGTGAGCAGTTGACATCCACCATATTTGTCAATAGAAATATTCAAAAGTAGAATTAAGAACTTATTTATATTATGAACTTATTTCTTTTTGTTATGACATTTTGTTTGTTTATTATAAACCTACAGAATTTTATGTTATGATATTATGTTTTATATTTATTTTATATTTGAACATATGAGATGAAAAATATTGGAAGATAAAAAATTTGGGTTGAAAAATTTTGGAGGGAAAAAAATGGGTTAAAAAATATTGGAAGATAAAAAATATGGGTTGAAATGTTGTGTCCCACCAAAATTAGTGTTGAATTGTCAACCGTAACTTTTTTGCACACTTGGATGACACTGGGCTCTACCAGAAATATTACATGTTCAAACTGGGACCCACAATATTTCGGTCACAATAGGTTACAGTTGGTCACAAGGTCGATTTAGTGGATTCTTTCAAATGAATCGATCTGATTGTCATCACATCTTCCATATACACTATTTTGAACTATATTTAACTATAATAATTGAGTTATTCAAATTTTGTGTGCAAAAGTAGTTCTAAAAAATGTGATACATTAGTGTTCATAGTCTTTTATGAAGAATTTTGATAATTTTGGTCTTTTTGTATTATAAACTCGTTTTAACGTTTTGTAATTTTATCATCAACATAATATTTGAGTTCTTTATACCTTATAATAACAGACCAAAGCTTCGAAATTACGTTTTTACCTGTATTTACCTTCGTCACTTGGTCACAGGTCACATCCGGTCACAATGGTCACATAGTGTAAAATTGACATTGGTCACATTGGTCACATGCTGGTCACATGGGACCCAACCACTACTTATATGAGATAATTTATTTACTGTTTTTTAATATGTAGAATGAAACCAAAGTATTATAATGCATTATTTTAACACAATATTATACAAAGATCTTAATGTTTTAATGTACATATATTATATAACATTATTATACAATTTATATTTCTTTATTCATTCAAAATTAGGGTTCCACTGAAATTTTGTTGATGTTGATACTCTTGTTGTGACATAGATCCACTTTTGAACTACACTAGGATTTGAAAAGCGGTTTTGTTTAGGTCTCTCACTTTTTTGTTTGTCTTCCAATTTCTTTGTACCCTTCATAGCTTTGCTAGATTTTGATACGGGTTTGCAACTATGCATAAGATTTTATTTTCTTACACTCCAACGTTTCGAGTTTAAGATCAATGTCGTACGCAACTTCCAATTACAGCCGGATCCAGTAACTTCCAACACTCTTTGGTTTTTCATCACCTTTCCTTCTCATTCATATTCTCCATTCTTTTTCATTATCCATTTACTATCATACAGAAAATATACAATTGTGATCTCTTATCTCGTCCGTCTATAATAGTTGTAGAAAACATACGTACAAAATGCAGATCAATTCGACTATTCTGGATACAGTGACCATGTGACTATTATTATCATTTTTGACTATGTGACTATGTGATCATATGAACATAGTATCATGTGATCATTATTACCATTCGATCATTTAATTTAAATCCATATGATCATTATTATCAATCCGACTATTATGGAGATCATATGATCGTTTGATCATGTGAACCTGGTACCATGTGACCATATGAATATGGTACCATGTGACCATGCGAATCTGGTACCATGCGACCATGCGAACCTGGTATCATGTGACCATGCGAACCTGATACCATCCGAACCAGATCTTCAACAAAGGACAAAACTTCACAAACATCACCAAGTAGAAGAAAATAAGTGGAAAAAACATCATTTTTCAACAATTAGAAGAAAAAAGGTAGAAGAAACATCACTGTTCATCATGTAAAACCGACAATCATCAACGTGGATGAAAAAAAATAAGATTTTCACAATTGCTTACATATTTTCAACTTCTTTGACAATTTTGCACTGATTTTGTTTTGATTTCTATCGATTTTGGAGAAAAAATTGAAAGATTTAGATGAGAGAGAAAGTGTAGGAAAGAGAGAGCTCAATGTCGACAATGGAGAGAGATACAGGAGAGAGAAACCGAAAAGAGAGAGGAGAGAGACAACTAATTTTTGGAAAAAATTTTTATTAAAAAATTAAATACAAAAGGGTATTTTAGTCATTACTAATTAAAGAAGGTATATTAGAAGTTAAATTTTTTTTTTTAAAAGGGGAGGGTATGAGTGGAAGTTGATGTAGCACATTAAAGATATAACGGAAGTTGTCCGAGAAAATTACAGGGCGGATGTAAAAATGAAAGCTAATTAGAATACAAATACACAAACATCAATGAATCGGATCTAAATATCAATAGCAGTCATTAGTGGATCAATTAATTTTTTGGCATGTTATTTGTTTTAATTTCATAATCCACTAATTGAAAAAGAAACGGCCCATGTGTGCTCAATCTTTTAGATGGATTTTAATTGTTTTTATTTATTTATATCATCATTAACCATGACTTTTCGATTGACCATGAAACTTGGTATTTATTTACAGTATTAATTTTTGGGACGTCGCTTTTATCCTTTTAGCATAAATCACTTCACCAGCCGTTTAGAGCGTTATTTGTTTTTGCATGCGCCATAGGCCCATAACAGTCATCATTTAATTACAGTTTTTATTTTTTTAAACATAATTACAATGAGAATGATCAATGGAAATTTTAAAAAATTGGCACATGGATGATGATGTGGAGGATGAGGTGGCTTCACCAAAATACTTTAAACATCTTTATTAAACTAAAATATATCTTGAACTATATCTTGAACTGTGATTTAACTCTATATGATATATTCATGTCCAAGTATCATTATATATTTCTTTCCAGGTGTGTATATATATATATATATCAAAATTTTTAGAGCCAGGACCATTATATATTC